ACAAGTGTGCTGACCTAGAAAACCTCCTGCTTTTATTAGTGAAAGATAAAGTTTAAACTGTCTAAATTATTTTCTTACAATTTTAATGTGTGAATATTTATTGTAGTAAATAAGTGAAGACAAATATATTTTTTTTCTACACAGATTTTTATTCTACTGTGATTAGACTTAGTAGCTGAAAGGGCTCAACCTTTGCCCTGATGATTTTAAACAGAGATTTAAAATTTTTTACCACCTCAGAAATTAGTAATCTACAGTTCTATTATACATACCTCTATGTTTTAAAAACATTCAACATAGTCTCTAACAGTACCTCCCCGTAGTACTTTGCATAATATACATGAAGTACGGAGATATCTACACTAATCTTTATTAATAATTCTATAACATTCTTTGACAGAAACTTCAAAACCAGAGCTGGTAGTTATATGGATTTTGGAGCTACCCAAACTAAAATTTCAGTAAAATAATGCCAAGTGTGACTTCAAGTTAAAGTTATGAACATTCATTGAGAACCTGTTCTGAGCACAGCACCCTGCTGGGTAGGCCCCGCAAGAATAGTAGTCACTAAGGATTTCACTCTAAAATCTGGTCATATCGATGCAATGGGAGGTGAACCGGACGATTTAGGTGAATGCCAGAGAATGCAGGGCTACACCCAGGACCTTCCCGCTAGTAAGGTTGGGGCGGTGGAGAAGCTCTGAAAAGTGGGCGCCAGGTTCCGAACACGCGCGTCGAGGGCGTCACTCCCGGCCTTTATCAGGGAGCCCGGCCAAGGCCGAACTGCCCCTAGACTCACCGTCCCCCACCCAATTCCGGGGTCACTGCCCAGGATCGCAGAAGGAAGACTGACCACTCAGCCCGCTTACGTGGGCGGTCAGTCCCCGCTGCAGGCGGTGCTGGGGACTAGGGTAGGAGCGACCTGCGGTGGAGGGTCAAAAAATCCCACCACCAGACGGGCAATTTACCTCCTCGGCTATTTGTCGCTGTTTATCCGGCCAAGGGAGGGCGTTAGGACAAAAGGAACCCCGCTCCCTTCCTGGGAGTCAGGCCCTGGGTAGGGTGCGGGAGCCCGCGCTGCTGCATTCCTGGCGCTGTAGCTACGGAGGCCACAAAATTTTGGAAACGGTTTCCGGGGCAATGATCTGCAATTGGAGCCAGAGATCCCAGCCGTCAAAGCTGGCTACAGGCAAGGCTCAGCAATCCTCTTGGAGCGCTCCAGGGTCTGCATCCCACCCGCGCAAACAGCCGCGCCGCTCCCCTGCGTGGCCACCGTCAGCCGCAAGCTGGAGGCGAGCGGGAGCCCCCAGTCCTGACAGCTGCCCACGCGCCGGGGCGGTGCACGAGAACGTCGCTTTAAAGGTTCGCGCCGCCGGCCTCGCCCCCCGCGCCCCGCGATTGGCCGCAGGTGGGGCGGCGTTGGCCTGATAGATACAGGGAGGGCGGGGCTGCGCACGCGAGTCCTGTGGCCTCACCGCGGTATTGGGGGCTGGGGAGCCCGCGAGTGGCCGCAGAGTGCGGGTGATTGAGCGTGCGGGGTAGGCGAGCGCGCCGCGCGCGCGCGCCAGCAGCCGAGGTCCCGTGGGAAATAGCGGAGCGCAGGACGCCGACCCGCACGCGCCGCCCGGCGGTCGGCGGCGTGCGCGACGGCGCGGGGGTGGTGTGCGCGCGTGAGCCTGTGTGTGCGTGTGTGCGTGTGCGCGTGTGTGCAGCTCGGGTGCGGAGCGCAAGCCGTCAGTCCCCGCTGTGAGTCCCCAGCCGTCTTCCACAGCCCTCCCCCGGTCCCCGCATCTTCCCTACGACCCTCCCACGCACCTACGGTCGCATACCAAGCCCAGGAAGCCGGTGTGGGGGGTGAGCGGAGTCGCACGAGACAAAAGGGGCGCGGGGGTCAACCCGCCATGGCCTCCCGGAGCCTGGGGGGCCTCAGCGGGAGCCGCGGCGGCGGAGGCAGCAGCAAGAAGAGCCTGAGCGCCCGCAATGCTGCGGTGGAGCGGAGGAACCTGATCACTGTGTGCAGGTACGGCGGGGCCCGCCGCTCGGGGTGAGGAGGGGGGCGCTGGCGTCGCGGGCTGCGGGCTCTGGACGAGCGCTGGAGCCCCTGGGGGTCCCGGAGATACGCGGCTGGAGCCCTGCGCTGCAGTCTCTGCCGCGTCGGGCGTGTCCGCGGGCCCGAGCGCCCGGAGAGGGGCCGGGGTCTGGACCCTGCTGAGGCCCCGCACTTTCGGGGCTGGAAGCGGCGGAGCGGAGGGCTTGGGGCGGGGCTGGGGGAGGATTTGTTTTGAACGTGCGGTCCAGAGTCAGAGTGAAAGAATAGGGCAGGGAGAAGAGCTCTTTCATTTAATGCACGTTTAGCTGTCAGCCAGCTTTCGGTCAAGCAGTCATTACTGTGATCGTTGACCGTGTTGCCTCAACATCAGAGTGCATTCTGGTTTTGTTTTGGCTTGTTTACATACATATTCAGTCATTTCGTGTCACAAATATCGCGTGCCTACTACGTGCCAGCTGTGTGTGTGTGTGTGTGTGTGTGTGTGTGTGTGTTTCCTTTCCACTTTAAATTGCGGTGCTAGTGCTGTTTCTGCAGTTGTTATCAAGAGTGGGACTGTGGGGGATACCTAGTCTTTCTTTCAATGATTTTATTCCAAGGTCTGCCTTTCCTTAAATGTTTATTAATTATAAACGTAGTATCCTTTACTCTAAAAAATATAGAAACGTAAATGGAATAGTTACTATCTATAAGCTTAGTATTCAGAAATCACTTATTTTTAACATGCTGATATATTTTCTTTGTCTTATTTCTGGGTATTAAGAAAATTGAAGTCCTAGGCATCCATTTCTTAGAAACTTCTTTGTTTTAAAATTGCTGTACTTTGTTCAGGCAAACCCCTCATCATCAGCCATGGATAATCCTCTTAAGAATCACAGAATATGAAACCTTTTCCTCCTTTGCAATTTATATCTGTATTTTTCTCTTTTCCTGTATAAAATGTGTTTACTCTCTGTAGCAGAATACAGGTATTTAATACGAGGACATACATTCAATAACTTTGACTTTTTCTGTTTATAGCTTGGACTATTACAAATGTTCACCTATGTAGGTGGGAAGACCTGCCTCACTGTTAATGCCACTTGGAGTTATAAATGGTAGAATTATATGAAATCTGTTTAATTTACAATTTGTGTTGTCTAGGATGCAACCTTTTGAGGAAGCTGCGCTGTGTTAAAAACTATTAATCTAAGCAAATCTCTTTTTTTAAGTTAGATAAATAGAATAAGAAAGTTTAATTTTCTTTATTTTACAGACATTAAATTTTGTTTTGTTTTTTAGACACAGACAACAGTGTAGTGGTACCAGAGGGTAAAGGGGTGGGAGGGTGGTAGTAGATGGTAAAGGGGGTCAAATATCTGGTGATGGAAGGAGAACCGATTGAATAGTAAGCACACAATGTGATGTATGGGTGATGTATTATAAAAGTGTACACTTGAAACCTGTGTGATTTTACTAATCACCCCAATTTAATTTAAAAAAACTATATTTTAAAAGAATATGGTCTCAAGCAGGCTCTAACATATACAGTGCTTTCTTGGGGTAATATATTTCATAAAAGCTTCATCGGAGTTAAAAATCACAGGCAGCAGCCTTATCTGCTTTTTGTTCAGTCTTTTTAAAAAAAATTCTTACTTCCTATTATAGCATCTGACATTCAGTAAATATTTATTGAATGAATAAATTCAGTGGTGGGTACCGTTCCTTTTGCTTCTTCATTTTTGTCATGACTGGTTTTAGGTCATTTAATGTTCATTTGCTCACTCGTCAGAGGCCGTTCAGGAGGAGAAAGGTACGTATGTGTACCTCAATCTTATTTAAATTACATTTTAAGCTACGAGCTATGGTGAATGTTTAAATTTTTAAAAATTATTACAGTAAAAGACACATTGCCATCAATCCCTCTCAAAATACTCCCCCTTGCTTCGAACACACTTAACCAATGCTCTTGCCACTGTCTGAAGCAGTTCTGGAAGTCCTCTTTCGTGAGTGTCTTTAGTTGTGCTGTCATGGCTGCCTCGATGTCCTGAGTGGATTCAAAACGTTTACCTTTCATGGTCATTTTGACTTTGGGGAAGAGCTGTGAAGTCGCACAGTGCCAGATCCAGTGAATAAGGTGGATGAGGACACACCGTAATGTTGGATTTTGTTTGTTTGTTTGTTTGTTTGTTTGTTTTGACATTCTCTGTTCCTTCTCTTCCTTTTTATTTTTTTATTATTAGTTTCAGGTGTACAAAACAATGCAATAGTTATTCTTTTCACCCCTCACAAAGTGACAACCCCCTCCTTCTATCCACTGTCCCCCCACCCCCGATATCATGCTTATCTATTACAATTCCATTGACTCCATTCCCACACTCTTCTCCACATCCCGTGACTATATGTATATATAATTATAGTTGACATACAATATTATTCAACATAAGCTTCAGAAATACAGTGCGGTGGTCAGGCCTCTACACCATCTATGAAGTGGTCTCCCTAACAAGACATGAGTCCATCTGGCCTAAAAAATATTTACAACATTATTGATTATAGTCCCCAAACTGTCTTTCCTATCTCTGAGGCAGTATTGTAGTTACCAATTTGTATTGTCTTGTCCCTTCCCCTTCTCTGTCATCCCCACTCCCCCTTCCATCTAGCAATTTCATTTGACAGAAATTGCTGTACCAGAAGCGATGTGTGACATGGAACGTTGTCATTATGGAGGATGAAGTAAAGACACTCACGAAAGAGCACTTCCAGAACTGCTTCAGAAAGTGGCAAGAACGATGGGATAATTGTGTTTGAAGTGAGGGGGAGTATTTTAAGGGGGATTAATGGCAACGTGTCTTTTTCTGTAATAAATTTTTTATTTTAGCATTCACCGTATCTTTTGATCACACCAATTAAGAAATTTATTCACATCAGTGATTTGTGTGGACAGCTGTCTGGGTTAGCTGTATTTTTGTTTGCGTAATTATTCTTTGCTACTGTGAAATGAATATAAGTGCTGACTTTAGTTACAGTTTACACATAAACTTAGTATTGTAGCTAAAATAAATTTCAATTTCTGGCTTAAATTTCAATTTGTGCATTTATTTATGTGGATAACATTATTAAGACTATTCTTTATGTCCAAATAGCTGATGGTGTTTATAAATTATCATCCATGTCTAGTAATGGGATCTATTTGATAGGCTTTGTCTAAAAGGCTTTTACTTTTAGGAAAAAAGTCTTTGTAAGCCATTTGACTCTTTAAGTAGTCCCACCTCAAATTCAGCAAAATGAACAAATCAATATTTATGCATTTCTGTTGCTTTTCTCTGCCTTTCAGCATTACCAAACCCTGGGTATCTCATCCGTGTGTCTTACTGAGTTTATTTTTTAATTTTTAAATATCAAATCAGAGGTAGTTTGGTATTTATATAGAGAAGTTGGTTTAGTGGAAATATAATTGGGTTCTAAGTTTACTTTGTCATTAAATAGTTGCGTGTCCTTTAAAAGCCATGCAACCTTCCCATTTTACAGTTTTCTTATCTGTAAAATAACCTTGGACTAGATTAATGCTAAACTTCAATAACAGCCCTAAAACTGTCAATAGTCTTGAGGCAAAATGTGTGTTCATATTTGGTTTTTAATTTTTCTAAATATGAACCAGGGTAATGGTAGACATATGTTTAGTGGTAGCTAGATGAGGCGTGTGCATTTTTCTCTGTAAACAAAAACATTTTGAACTATGCCTTTCATTTTGTGATTCTCCACTGATGTTCTGGAAAAATTGAACAGGATTACAAAACCAAACCAAAACAAAACAACCCCTCCACCCCCCAACTATCATTCTAGTGTATCTATTATATAGTAATGCTTTTCCTTTCTCCTTAAACAACTTAGGCATAATCTCAGTTTAGGTATAAAACCTTATTATATAACTACACAGTCTTTTAGGTTTAAAAACATCTTATACAAGAACAGTAATGCTATAGTTTGAACTTTGGAAGTGGGTTGTTTGGTTAGGTAGCATAGTCCAGAATTGGATTAGATTGAATTGAATTGAGTTGAATTTAGGTTCATCGTGATTGTGTATGTAATTATTTCATCTTGTTTTCCAGTTAATATTTATATATTATAGACTAAAAACACTTGGATGATACTTAGCTCAGCAAATAAGTACCATTTTATCTTAATTTTCACAGATTGTGGTAGAGAGAAAGTAGGTCATTTGAGGCCTCTAAATATTCCACACTCAACTCCAAAATATTCATAGACTGACTGTGGTTCTGTGCACCAACTAGTGTTTTCCATGAATATTCTCTACCTTTTAGAACTTTGAAAAATTAAATGTTAAAGTCCTTCAGGCTTTTTTTTTTTTTAAGATTTTATTGGAGAATTGGGGGAGGGGAACAGCGTTGGGGAATCGGGGAAGGGGAACAGACAAGTTGCTGTCCTTTTGTTCTTCAGTCTAGTTGTAGAGGACGTCGCTTCACTGGCCCATGTTGGTATTATCATTGTGCTCTTCCCGGGTGAGGCAGATCGGTCGCTGGCCTCTGGATGGCAGCTCACGGAGGCTCTTGGCAGCTCAGACTGGCTGCGGGCCGCTCACACTGGCTGCCGGCCAGTCATGGTAGTTACGGCAGCCCACTGCAGCTCCACTGCAGCCTGTGCTGTCGCCCGCGACTCATGGCAGCCCAACTCCCGGTCGAGCTGTTATTCAACATCTTAGCTGTAGAGGGCAGTGTCACTGGCCCTCATGTGGGATCCGAACCGGGACCCTGTTGCTCAGAGCTGGTGTCTCAGGCCAGCTCTTACCCAACGTGCCACTTGGCCGGCCCCAGGCTTTTTTTTTTAAACCTGCATTTTTTCATCCATAGAAAATCAGGTATTAGTCATTTTTAAGCTTCACAGGTTATTGAAAAACTTACATATTTCTTTGATTTTAGTTCTGTTGACAAAATCTAAATTCTCTTTCTATGGCTTAACATTGTTTTATGAGAAAAGT